TCCTGCTGATTTTACTGTTTTTTAATCTTGCTCTATGATTTAATATTTAAGAAGAAGTCACAATTAGTGCCACACTGAGCCTTCGTATAAAAATTTCTCTTGGCACAAGGAAATATTTAAAATGATCCTGAGCTACGGCCATAGTGAACTTTGAACTGTTCAATATGTCTATGTCGATAGATGTTGTCCAGATTTTCTGCTGGTTACATGGCCAGAAAGATGCCTAAGCATGCATATTCAGCAGCAGACAAGAAACTTTTTTGAAAGGTTCATACACACAATATATCTTCCAAGGCAGATTTTATGCCTTTGAGCTTTTTTTTTTCTTGTTTCATTCCACTTTGATTCCATTTTACATTTACAGTACAAAGTGATGCCCCTTTTCTCCAAACACCTTTCCCTAAGTTCCTCTCCTTGGAAAAAAATGCTCATTTTCATCAATTGGTTTATTGTTTTTAAGGTGACAGCCATCTTGTACAAGCTTCAGAATGAATGCAAATGTAGCCTCCCCACACTCCCCTTTTTAAGCAATTTCTCAAACTTTCAGACTTGTTGATTCCTACGTGGAATAGAACTGTCACTTCGGGAGAGGCTGCCTTGTCTAACAGCTTTAATGTGTAAGCAACACCTATGTTCATATACATCTGCTAGAAGGAGGATCTCATAAAAGAGCTAGTCTCCCTTCCCATTTCCCTTCTACCTAATAGAGGTCCAGCTACCCTTCTTCTGGCTGCTCTGTCACATAAGTAATTTAATCCAAGTGTCTATAAAACCTCTTTAAAAAGAACACTCTCTGTTGATTCAAATGCCTGACAAAATTCTTCCACTTCAGTAGCCATGCCTAGCTTAGAGCCCTGTGACTCAAGTTACTTTCATCTGGTACATATACGTTGCACTTGGCTTCAATTCAAGTAGCCACACATCCAATTGGATTTGATCCAATTAACTGCGTATTTCACCCACACTGAGAAAAGGCCAAGGCTAATTCAGTCTTCAGTGTTCTTCAGATTTGCTGTGGAACTTGTTTAAACAGATAATTACCAATGCTTCTAGCTTTAACAAATGTTTATTTTAGCTACTCAGAAATGCAATTTTATGGATGTTAAGCAAGACCTGTAATCAGCAAATTCAAGTGTGACACTAGAATTTGCTACAAAAGATGTAACTGGAACCTAACACTCGCTTTTGTTTGGAGTGACATCAACCTCCAATGTGTCTAGCCAATCATACAATTCATTTCATAGAAACTGTTGGTATACTTTTTCATGTTTTGCAATTATAACATCCTCTAACAAGAATTAAATCATCTTTGAACAGCATAAATTCAGAAATGTATATGAAAATAAAGATTTTACTCTTTAACTTTGGGGGGGATGTCTTTGTTTGTTTGTTTTGTTGTTGCTGCTGTTAAGATTGGAGACAAAAGCTGTTCCAGCCACTCAAGCAGCAATACTCTATCCAGTAATACATCCAGCAACAGTGATGAAAAACACTTTGGTTCTGGAGATTTGATGGACCCTGAACTGCTTGGATTAACATATATAAAAGGGGCCTCTACTGACAGTGGAATTGATACAGCTCCTTGTATGCCTGCTCCACTTCTGGCCCCTTTACACCTTGCTGGCAGCAGGTCTGGAGCACATTGTCGTACTGAGCAGTGGACTGAATCTTCTGAAACTCCTGGGCCGGATGATGAGCCAACTAAAATCTATGCTGTTCATAGCTATGCCTCTGCTATTTCTACGGGTCATATGGCTGAAGGCAGTATGGGAGACCTAAGTGAAATATCCTCTCATTCCAGGTATGTATTTCTTACTAGTCAGGGATTTATGGTTATAGATTAGATTCAGAGACCCCCTTTTTCCCTTTGGTTCTCTTTACCTTCCTTTGTAAGTGCTTAATCACTTAATTGATTTCAGTTTTTGTTGTATTTAAATACCTACGGAGAAACTGTAGCAATTTTCCAAGCATTTTTGCTGAGTCTGCATAAAAAACATAGTTAGCTCTGCTCCCAAATCCAAAGGAGGATTTAAATGTGACCTTGTGCACAATGCTTAGATTTTCAAAGTTGGGAAACATCCCCTAAGTCAAAGTGAAGTAGTACAATAAATTAAATTCTTCATTTCTGTTTCATATTTTTAAAATTTATTTTTCACAATTTATTTCTAGGAGATGTTTTAAGAATAATTGCATTCATATTTGAGAAGTCACCATGTACTACAATGGCATACATCATAGAAAGTTTTACTAAGACATATTACATTTAATCTTTGACAATCCCAAGCTATTTTACCAGTGATCAGCTGATGGCTAAAGTATTAGAAAGCATATAACTTTACTTTCATCACTGCAGAAGAAAACTGTAAATTTGTAGGCATCAGCATGACATGCTTTTATGATGCTTTGCATTATTAGCATGAGTTTAGCATTAGAATCTCCTCCTCCACTTCTCAAGGATAGTGAGTTTAATAGATCGAAACACCCTAGTCATGTTATCTTGACACCAGTGGTCTTATTAATGTCTTTTTTTTTTTGCCCCTGGAACCTGACTTTGCATACTTCTTAGTACAGTGCAACAAATGACCTGAGAGATAAAGCAGAAGGAAATCAAAGAAATTGCAATGGAAATTTTTTCCTTGTACTAAAGCAGCATTGCATACCATCCCCCTTTATTTAAATTATTGTGATATATTCTTTCCAAGTTTGTTGAACTGAATTTATGATTGATTTTGCGCTCATCATTTTTGTTACCAATGGAATGTATGCATGGGTACATCTGTTGTAAAGCTAACTGTGAAAGTGCGCTTTTATAGCTGCTTGCCTTTATCTCCTAATTCCCATTTTACGGTGACTTTGAAGTTGAAGCTTTGGTCTATGTGTTAAGGTTTTTACTCTGTAAAGCATGGAGGGAAATTGTTTGTTCTTCTTTCCCTCTGATTTTTTTTAATTTTCAATGTCAACCAGTACAGGAAAATAACCAAACAGCGAATTTGTTATGTGACCCAACTGTTTTATTTAAACTCTGCTTACGTGTCCTTCAAATTAGGCCAAAAGTGTGTGACTGTGTGACATCTACAGCCAAATCCCATATATATTTTTCAACTGGTCAGATGCTGAGTTTGTATTTGTTTATAATCTGTAACAGTGGAGTTCTAGCCTGACTGAGGCATTTATTCACAATCATAAATGTTAAATGGTAAACTTCTGTAATAGCTAAACAGCGTAAAATTTCAAGAAACAAGCCCATAGACTGATGGAAAGTCATTAATCTACAAATGCAGCATTTCCTTACTAAAATTATATTCTGTTTACTGAATAGATGAAGTACAGCACGTAGGAAAGATATTGATTGGAAATACTGGCTTAATTCTATAACTTCATCATATAAAAGAACTCCCTGAAAAGACTAATGCTGTAGTGTCTGAATAAGGGTTACAGATTTAAACCTATTGCGTGAAATATCTCAGACTGCAAGACTGACCTGGTAGATGCAAAACGTTGTCTCACAGCTGTTATTAATGGTTTTGATCTCTTCTATTGTATATTAATTACACACATGAATTATCAAGTACCGTCAGGTTACTGTACCTGTAACAGCCTCATTGCCTTCGTTTTGCATTATTTCTTACATAAGTTGTCAGTACCTTCTGGTTTCTAGAAATATGTACTGCTTGTATGGACAGTTGCATTGACCTCACTAAGACTTGGTTTCTGTAGGCATTTATTTCTTTACTTTGGAAAATATTCCCTTATTTAAAACCTGCAGACAACGCTGGCATGAGGAACACTGGATGCTCAATTTTGATTAAATTTAGTTAGAAGTAGATATCTAAAATCCTCTGGATACTGTCATGGTGTCAGTATGATATGTATTTTACATTCTGCTTTGCTTGACCTTTAGACTTCAGGTTTTCATAACTAAATTATTTTCTTTACCATCATGTCTTTACATCATTTCTTCATGCGTTTTGTAAATATAACAGAGAAAAGAGCAACCTTATTGCTTTTAATGTCAACCTTCCCAAGAAAACTCTAATGCTGTTTTTACTTTTTTAGGAGCTAAAAGTTCATACCAACTATGATCAAAATTATTAATCCTCTGCCTTAAATGATCTAACTTTCTTCCACAGTAGGCATTTTAATTTGACCTAATGACATAGACAGCAAAGTAGACATATGCGTTATACTTTCAGCAACACCTTCTCATCCTGCATGAGTGAATCTAACACTCCTGGAATTAAAATAAAAGATAGCCCTGTGTTTCATATTTGGAGAACAACAGTGAAAGTTAGGAGCTGCGGTTTCAGGTCCCAGCCTATAATTTTAGGCAAGACTCTTGGTTTATGAACACTTCAATTACTTCACCTGTAAGATGAAAAGAGGAAATTTATTATTCAAATGAGTATTTACATTAGTTCATTTTAAAATATTTTCAGAGTCTTCAGTAAAAGGTTTCATTAGAGCCTATCAGTGCTATTATTCATAATAAAAGACTGTAGGACTGTATTAAAATCATCCAGAAAACTGCTTTTGTTGAACTAAAATTTACTTCTGGTACTATTAAATTCTCAACAGTGCTGAATGAAAGACTGAGCTTAAACTAACATGAACTGACAAAATTAACATGTAGTGGAAAGGCACATAAGTTTTAAAATTAGAGAGAGATTTAGGCCCAAAATAATTCCCTATGTAGTTCTTGACATAAATGGAATTATACCATATATTGTGCATGTTCATATGTACTGAAAACTGCACACATGTTCATCCCATATATGTGTATTGAACTAAATCCTTTAATCTTAATTCATATCAGTTTGCTTTGACATTTCAGCAAGTTGAATTATATACATTACTCATTTTAGAAACTCATCACAACTTTCTGCACATTTGTATGTGCATGTATGTATTATCAGAGTTTTAATATATATGCTGCTAGTATTCAAGAAATTACTATATTGATATTGCTGCCTGATTTTAACCTTGAGAAAAACTTAACGTTAAAAATTATAGCTGACTATTAGGTGAAGAGTTTCTGATTTGTTGTTTTATTGCAGATTCCATTTCTGCTTTTATATATTTTCTTTACTTTTTCAGTGGGTCACATCATTCGGGAAGCCCATCAACACATTGCTCTAAGAAGAGTGGCTCCCTAGATACCTCCAAAGTCTATATAGTGTCGCAGAACAGTAGTCAACAGATTTCTGGGCCACTTTCAAAACCATACCACAGACAAGGAGCAGTGAGTAAATATGTCATTGGATGGAAAAAATCAGAAGGTAGTCCTACACCTGAAGAATCTGAAGTTTCTGAATGCCATGAGTAAGAACTGTTTTTAACTTTGGGGAGAAGGGTAAAGGAAATAAATTTTAAAATAGGATAGAAAGACAAAAAACACAGATTTCCCTTTCGCTTTTAAGTGCATGTTTTTTTTCCTCACTTCAAAAAAAAAAAAAAAAAAAAGAAAAGAAGAAATGCAGGGAACTGTTTCTCCTCTGTTCTATCAAAGTGTGTCTTTTTCCCATGTCTAAAATAAAGCAAGCTGAAAAGAATTACTGAAACTGCTGTGTAGGCAAAAAGTTATGGTTGTGTCAGACATTTTGATTTTCCTTTTTGAATCTCTAGAAAACAACAGGGAAGCCATAATTTTGTTGAGGTGAAGAACTCTTCTGGAAATCCCTAGGAACCTTACAGTTAATTGAAAAAAGTACCTAACTTACTTCCTGACTTTCTTTGTTAAACCTTGTTATGTACTACACCAGATAATCCAACAGAGTTGACAGAGATGACCAAAAACTGAGCAGCGGTCTATGGTAGATAACTTTATTTTATTTTTATTAAAAAAAAAAAAACCTATCAGTTGGAAGTAGTTTGAGTTCTGAGTATCTTTTTCTGACTTGTTTTTTTATTACGAGATACGAACTGGTGATTAGGACACAGGACTGATATTAGGTACCAATTTTCAAGTCCTTCCGCTTCCCAGTTCAAAGGTATTAACCAGATTACCCAGAGTAGGAACATGAACCTATGTCATCTTTACCCTAACCTGTTTTCCTAACCACCCCACAAAAGAAAGATTAAGTGTGGGCTTATGTGACCCTCTCTTCAAGAGACTGCAAAATATGTAGGCTTCACCAAAACTACTGTTTTTTATTGTTTGGGTTTCTTTTTTAGCAAGTGACACTTAGCCAAAAATTTTCTGATCAGTTCTAATGAACAACTCTGTTTTCAGCTTAACACAGGAAAAGCTAATGAGGAATGTGTTGTTCTTGGGCAGAGGTAAAAGGCTTGGACGCAAAGGAGAAGGCGCAGTACCTCAAATATAGATAGAGATGATGCTTTCCATCTTTACTCATGCTGTAGCAGTAATAAATAATGTTTGGATCTGCTGTTTAAAAATCATCTTTTAAATTGCTATTATCTTCAAATTCATCTCCTCTGATAATCTCGTTGCTTTCTTATTGCACACAAGCTGTTTAGTTCTGCCTCTCCATAAATTGTCGTCAGCCCTGTGTATCTTGATAAATTGGCAAGGTGGCATGTAGAAACTGATTTTCAAATGTGTAATATGGGGTTACTCTTTGTTTAATGGGAATAAGATGTTTGCCTGTATTATCCTGTATTGCACATATGTGCATATTTATAGTAAGATTCATGTTTAAAAATATAGGCTAGAATATATGTACTAAAAAATAAGAACCTAACATTAAGCTCTTGAGTTCCTAATTTTCAGAAGTAGTAGCTGCTACTACCCTCCAGTCCTGGTCATAGCGTTCTTTTTGTTATTATAGGTAACAAACTGTAGATTTCTTCTTCCTCTTTCTCTGTTAAATTATTTAGTCATAGTAATACTTGCACTTGAAAAGTGGCAGCTTCATTAGTCCCACAAGCTTCTGTATTATGAAGCTGATGAATTTCTGCAAGAATTTTTCTTTATTTTGGTGGAACCCTTAAAACAAAATTGCATAGTGAAGCATGTCATTTAAACTAAAGCCACAGAAATTTTGAAAAGCATCTTCAAGAACTAGCTATATTTTAAAAAAATTATTGAAGATGGCAGCACTGCACATACCAGAAAACATTTTCGTTTGTTTCCATGCCATAGAGCATTGCTTCACATCTTTCTTTCTAGGAAAGATTTCTATACATCCTGCAGAGGAAACCTTTATCTGAAGATAATTACATTGAATAAAAAAAATCTCCAATTAGCAGTGGTGATGAAAATCAGGTCAATTGCTGAAGGCTGTGCCACTGTAGAATATAATTCTTTGAGAATTACAATTTACCATAGCAAAGTCTGTTTCCTCTCTGCTGAGGATACAGGCACTAATTATGCTGCACTTGGCAGTAAGTAATGGCTTCAAATGTATGTTCTGTGTGTTTTGGAATCTCTTGTTCCTTAAATTGCATTTCCAAAGTAAACTGGTTAAAATTATATATTTCCATTCTCACTGGAAGGAAACTGAAAAATAATAATTCAGTTTGACAATCTTTTGTTGACTGTAAATACATTTTTATCTGTTGATAATTAAAGAAGATGGCTGGTTTATTTATCTAAACAGCTTTGTGAAAATGCAGATAATAAAACACACTTGGCATGTGGCACAATTGATTACAAATATACTTCAAATATTACCAGTGATGACCATGGTAATTTTGTCAGATTGTGAAGCTGGGCACAATATCACACACAATAGTGATTTTCTTATTTGCTAAAGAAGTGAAAGTTAAAATGTTTTGATCTGTGCTGAATTATTGAAAATGTAGATCTATTTAAATCTTGTAGATTTAAATACAAGTTCAACAATAAAGTATAGCGTGCAAAAAAGAAAGAGGCAAGTTGGGAGGAACAAGCATTGTGTTCTATGAATTGTTTTGAAGAATTTCCAATAAGTGATTTTTTTCAGTGGCTTAAGAATTTTGTCTTAGACACACAACTTAAGATTATTAGAAAATGTTCTGAATAATAGTATGTAATGCCAGAAGATGGTTCTAACAAATTTTGTTTTTTGACTGAAAATAAATGCAGCCTTGCACATCCAATAGCACCTGTCATGCTAATTGTCTCAACAGAGTGTATGACGATATTGATGCTGTGTCTGCATCAAGTCCACTTCAGACTTCTGTGAGGAATGCCATTGTCGAAAGCCAGCAAGTGTTGTCCAAAGAAGATTTTCTGAAGCTGATGTTGCCAGACAGCCTCTCTGTGGAGGAAGGGAGAAGGAAGGTTAGCTACTTTATTTGGCTCTGTATCCCTCAGACACAATTATCTGGAAATGATTTACTAGCATTCCCAGAATCAGTATAGAGAAGGCATAATAATTTTGTATAAACAAAACATATTCCATGGGGAGGCTATAAATACTAACTATAATTCCCATAATATGATTTCCCACAGTACTAAATGATAATTATTTTTATGGTTATGTATTAAATCTAGTATTTGTTTGAACCTGTCTCTACTCAGCTGTAAAGGTTCGGCTGGTTAATTATAATTTCAAAGGCTGAGAGTAACATTTTCAAGGCTGGATACCTAAATTGATACACCTCAAACTATATTTAGGCACATGAATAAAAATAGCCTGCTTTCCCCTGCTCCATGATACTCAGTACCAGCCATTTTATTTGAAAACTGGATCACAATTTTGTGTACGTACCAGTGTTAACTGCTCAAAAGGCATAATTGTTTGTGCTAGTGGAGAGCATGGAGCTGATCTTAGTCATGTGAAAACAATCAGTAATAGTAAAAAGTTCATGAAAAATGCATAGAAAACTTAAAATATGATATACTGCAAAGGATACATGGTTCTGAATTCTCTGCCTAATGTGAAATTATGCACAAAGCAATTGAATTACATTACATAATCATTATAATGAGATGTTAACTCAATGCTGTCTTAACCTACTATGTTTATAATATGTTCTAAATAGCATAATCGTAATGTCTGAATAAAAGTAACATGTAGGAATCCTCTAAGTGCAGAGCTGAATTCAAAATTCAGAATATATTTTTTAACGTGCAGTTTGTTAAGTATGCGTTTTATGCACTTGAATTCTTAGGAATAATGTCTTAGAGGTCTTTATGACCTATGCTTGATACAACAATTGGTTTTTTGTGACAATTTCAAGAGCTGCCCATATTTCTGATTACCCAAATAAGAAACATCAAGGAATGAGGAAATATGACCATCCTGAAATAAATTACTGGTGTCCCCTTCTCCTCCCAGGACACTCAAACAAAAGTTGAGTAAGTAAAGCTGCAAATGGGAGAGACCCTAGACTCTGGTTCAGAGAGGATCCTTACAGCCGTGGGGTCAGCAGAGTCCAGTCTTCAATTATGATTTGTAGAGGGTAGTAGTCTTGGTACAGGTTGAACCATTGCCTTTGACCACAAAGCCAAAAAGGAATTTTTCTGAATGGTTCACACACAATAAGAGAATGGTTGAGGTTGAAAGGAGATCGTCTCTGGAGATCATCTAGTCCAACCCCCTGCTCAAGCAGGGTCACCTCGAGCACGTTACCCAGGACTGTGTCTAGACGGCTTTTGAATATCTCCAGAGAAGGAGACTCCACAACCTCTCTGGCCAACCTGTGCCAGTGCTCAGTCACCCTCCCAGGAAAGAAGTTTTTCCTCAGGTTTAGATGGAACTGCCTGTGTTTCAGTTTGTGTCCATTGCCTCTTGTCCTGTCGCTGGGCACCACTGAGAAGAGTCTGGCCCCATCCTCTTGACACCCTCCCTTCAGATACTTGGACACATTGATGAGATCGCCTCTCAGTCTTCTCTTCTCTAGGCTAAATTTAGAGGCCCAGCTCTTGCAGCCTTTCTTCATAGGAGAGATGCTCCAGTCCCCTCATCATCTTTGTAACCCTCCACTGGTCTCTCTCCAGTAGTGCCATGTCTGTACTGGGGAGCCCAGACTTGGACGCAGTACTCCAGATGTGGCCTCACCAGGGTGGAGTAGAGGGGGAGGAACACCTCCCTCGACCTGCTGGCAACACTCTTCCTAATGCACCCTAGGATCCCGTTGGCCTTCCTCGCCACAGGGGCACATTGTTGGCTCATGGCTGGTTGAGACTGTACAGGACAAATCACGTGTTTGGTTTTGTTTTGTTTTACCTTGTTCATAGCATTAGGGAATTATGAGCCTTCTAGAGTAAGCATTATTTAATTTCTGTCACATCCTGAAGGAAAACTGCACAGCTCCAACAATTAGCATTTAACATCTTTGCGTAGCTGTTGACCAACCTTCTTAGATGCAAATTGAGGTTGGGAGACTTGAGTAACAGACAAGAATTGCAGCAGGATGCTCACTGTGGATCTTGAGTGCAGGAAAGAGCGTGGGAGACCCTTTAATTTCAGAGGGTGAAGTTTTCTAACCCTTTACCTGACATGATCCCTAACAAGTCTAAGGGATTTTTGGTAATCTTCTAACTGCTTTTAAAAGGATACCCTATTTCCATTTATTTAGGGATGCTGCTTATGTCTATCATTATGATTATTTTACGTATGTGTTAAAATAAAGTTTTGGTCTGATGTTTACTCCCATGGCCTATGTCTGTTTCAACCAAATCGCTAAATTTGGTGGGTTTTTTTTTTTTTTCCATTTTGGTATTTTGACGCTTTCCTAGATTAAAATCCAAATAATTGCCTCAATTTCCTTTTGGACAGAGCTAAGCCTTCTAATAATTAAGCATGTATTTCTTTATTGTCCTCAAGATAGATGTTTTCCCAGACTAGAGCTATGATGTATATTAAACCATTTTGTAAGCAAGTTTTGTCAGAAATATAACAATGTAGATATTTTTAACTCTATGCTATATTCAATCTTTTAAAAGGCTACTGCTTCTAAGTGCACAGTCTGCACAGGGAGTGTGCAACTCATAATTAACTACAGGGAAAATAGGATAGGACATTAACTTGTAATATGCGAGACAAACCAGTTAAAATAATTTAGACAATAACTGACCTTGGTAGATATGAAAAATAACTGGGTTTGCAGTGCTGAAGAATGAATCATGAGGTGCAACGGCCAGTTTTACAATAAAATAACTTATAATTTTACTGTAGGTGTTTGGATTGTGGTTTAGGTAACTTTTTGAAATGCATAAACAATTTTCACTGACCTCTATCCTCTCTTCTAAGCCTACATCATGTTTTCTGGAGAATGACAGTGTCTCAGATCACTTTTATCATCAAATGAATTATATTGCACCTTATATCAGTTCAAAATGCTTAATATTAAAACATAGTCATTTGAAATTAAAATCACACGCTTCTATGTATGATCTTGAATAAATTTTGCCAGAGGTGGTAACCTTGTATATTGTTCTGGAAACCATTGCTGTCACAGGGTTATGGAGGTTTTGTTTAACATTTCAGAATTAATAAAACTACACAGTATCTGATTAATTCATAGTGATATTTTTTCCAAAATATCAAGAAGATGTATAGAAATGCAATTCAGTGACTTCTGTAAGGCCCTAGTAGAATTGATTTGATGGAAAAATCTCTGATCTTTTTTATTAGCTCAAGAATTCGAGAATGCCTGCCCAAAAAATACTCCAAGAATTGATGATAGGGTATGATCAAATGTGCATTAATTTGGTTAGTAATACGAATTCTTACATGTTCATGTTTTCCTATTTAGTTTTCATTTTATGGGAACCTTTCTCCACGGAGGACGCTCTATCGTACCTTATCTGATGAGAGTATATGTAGCAATCGAAGAGGCTCTTCATATGCTAGTTCTCGAAGTTCAGCACTAGACCAGGCCTTGCCAAATGATATTTTGTTCAGCACTACTCCACCATATCACAGCACGTTGCCTCCCAGAATGAGCCTGACTCCTGGAATGGGGAATCTGAGAAGTAAGTGGTTGTTTCTGTTACTGTTGAGTTTAGAATACTATTAATAAACTCAAACGAATCACCAACTATTAAAATAGATTTACTTTAGAGGCAAAATTATGAAATCCAAATCAATGTTCCAGATATCCTAGTAAAAAGCATATTTGGTCAGCAGTACTTGCTTATGCCTGCCTTACTGGTCAATTCAGATTTATCATGTTTGGAAACAGCATTCACTTTACTTCTGTTCCCAAAATTTTAATGATATGAGTGATGGGTAGCGAACATTTGTCTGTAGATATTTCTTGTTTTGATTTTATTTTCCTGTTTGCATCCAGTAGTGACCTATTTAAGCCAAGCTGGCCTGCTTTGTCTCAATATATATATTTTTAGTTAATTTTTTGTGTGCATTCAAACTATTGAAGTGTGTACATATTCATGAGTATTTTAATGTAATTGATAAATGGGATATCTTCTATTTAGATGATATTTTCTCTAATATCTTGAAAGGAGATTTGAAATAGTTGTCATCTCCAGTTTCAGAACTGGATTTGCTGAGGCTTTCTTTACATGTTAATAAAACCTTTGCATATAGCAGTTCATATTATTAGCAGAAAAAATAATCTGGGGTGCTAATTTATTTTATGAAGGTGTCTCTTCATTTGTGATATCTTCATAAGTGAGACCTTTATTATATGCTTATCTTCCAATAATTCCAACATGAAGTGATAGACTGTAAAGTATATACTAATTTTGTGGAAAATATGGAATGAAAATTATGAAAATCACAAACAGAAAAACAAAGTGAAAGGAAATTGTGGAAAATACGCATGCCTGTATGTCACAGCCCAAGTCTGCAGACCCAGATACATATATTTAGGCTGCATATCCCTATTCATGTATTTAATAGAGAGTAGAGTGTGTTTTGAAAAATGCTAAGTATATTTACTTCTCAGTTATTTTAGCTGGACATATAAGGGGCATCACATTTAGAAAAGCAGGACACTTTTGCTTAGCTACCTTAATACTGTATCACAACTGACCACAACTTTCAAAAATAGAAGAGTAGCTGTGAACTCTAAAGCCCATATTAAGAAGCTGTGGATGGGGTTTTTGAAAGCCTTAAGGAGATTTATACGCATAGGTTCAGTGAGAAGACAGACAGATGACTTAAGAAATAATAATAGAGCTTTCTGTGATCTGTCCTTCATGAACTAACAATCACTTGTGAACTTTCAGAAGTAAGTTTTTTACGGAAAAATCAGTTTTCTAGTTACAGTGGCTTCAGCTATGAGATTGAGTTTCATTCACTAATCACTGATTAAATTAAAACTAGTATCATAAACAAGTGCTAAATTCCAGCTTCAGATGTGAATGCATGCTTGACATAACTTATATCATTCTAAAAATAATCTTTTTCCATCATGGTGAAACTCTTTTCCATAAACCTAATATGAAAAGATCATTCTGTTTTTACCGACAGAGAATGAAAAGCGCGTTTTATTTCGTTTGAGACTAATTCAGTAGATTTTGTTGTTTGTTAAGGAGCTATGTATAAATGGCTTCCTGATAGTATTTCTTCTTGTACCGTGTTAGGCCTGTGTTTTTAAAGCTATTTGATGTAAACATAAATCCTAAGTGGGGATCAAACCTTCAGTGTGCTTTTATTCTGGAGATTGGCACAAGGCAGTTAATAGTGTACACTCAAGCTGTATACTGCTCTCTCAAGCAGTGAAATCTTAGTGTGTTTGCTGTAATAGTTCTGTCTTACATATGTTATTTTCCATTTTTGCTTCGTAGTTATAGAAGGATAATTAAGCTGAGGAAAAAACATAGCGGGAGAAAAACATGAAAACTAGTACCCGATCAGTCTAAATAAAACTGTTGCTATCCAAGGGTAGTTCATATTATCTTCATACTCAACCTGTGTTTTCCTCTTTTAATTTTATATTATAAAAGCACTAATGCTTTTCAATGCCAGTGATACTGGATCTTTTATGACGGCTGTCTCGAGGAAGATAAAAATTGCTTATCTGTAATCGTCCTCTCAAAATGGACACGTCACGACTTGCCCACCATTATTTTCAAAATAAAGTTATGCAATATCTTCATATATGAAACTCACTTTGGCTCTACTTGGAAAGGATCTTACAATCAGCGCAAGGTGGATACTCCCATTCAATTGCATTGGGAATGCAAGAAGTTTGTAATTTTAGCTTGAGGTTGCTGTTTCAGATAACAAGATTCTTAGGTGTCATAGTATTGTCTTTTATAAAATGCTTACATTTCTCTTCTTAAAACATTTAAATTTTAAATGTATTTAACGTTTGCAGAAGTCAGTGGAGATAGCGTGATTTCTTTTTGGCTGGAATTCATTTAAGAAAGATACATTCTTGCATGTCATTACCCAGCATGTGGTACACAAAATACTGCAGCAGCACTAAGTCTCACAAGACCCCTCTCACAAGGAAAAGAGTGTGATTAATAAGGAAACAAGGGTAGCATCAAAAACAAAGCACAGTGGGCAGCTTAAAGGGTTTCAGATCACGAGAAATTCTGAATTAGCGGACAAAATGACCTTGCAAATGTGGAAACAGGATCTTAAACTATATGCCGTGTTCACCATGGGGAGATGATGAGAAAATGAAGCTACAGGATTTATTATTTTATTACTGGTGAAAATTAAGTGAGAAACGAGCTGTTTTCAGTAACACCTGAAATTCTGCAAGTTCTGATAATTTAATACTGTTGACTGCATACAGTATGCAACTGTAGAAAGATTTATTTCATTTTATCTTATTTTTAACTTAAATCAGAAGGCAAAACTTGTGTAGCTGAGAACTCTGGAATTTGCCTTGGAGACATTGAAGATACCCTAACTGAGATAGCACTGTTTGTGTTGAGTGATTCTAACATAGCATATACTGTTGCAGATACAAATCTATCCCTGTTCTGCAAATGCATGGCACCTGAACTAGAAGGCACTGAGATTGCAGGCACCATGGTCCACCCCTATTATGAAAAACAACACAAAAGGAGAAGGAAAAATGCTAAAGTGTGAGTGGTAACCTAGCATGATATTGCAACGCTGTGAAGAAAGAAGCAAGGTGCAGGATACTTGCAGTGAAGAGGGTCGTAATGAAGGGAATGTTTTGCAATGATACGCTAGCAAATCTAAAAGCTCTCAGATTATACATGCTGTATGAAAAGGCTGCTAGAAGTTCAATCGCTATATCTGAAACTATGCTCCTAGATGAATGGTTATCTTAATACTGGCTTACTGCTCGTGTTACCTGCAACCCAAAACCAGCCTGAATGATAAGCAGCAATATTAGACTGAAAAATTATCACTGTATATTGGGAGTTATACAATTTGAATGATTTGGAAGTCAGCTTGCCAGTGAGCAAATGCAGGGTGTTGATTAAATGATCCACACAACCAAAGGAGTGTATATGTTGACTCTTATAATAAGACTCTCACACAGCGAATAATCCACCACAGCAGAGCATAAGAATATTTTCAACTGCAAAAGAGAAGGGAAAAGTAGTTGCTTGGGGGCATGTGTCCAGTATTCTAACAGTAACATGAACATATTTCCATGAGAAAGTCTGTTAGCAGGCCGACATATTTACATATCTTTGAAGGGAGACTTTGGGCAACCCTAGATAATACTGGAGAAGCTGTTGTTTAAAAGGAGTTTAGAGGCAGAATTGCTGATAGCAGGAAAGAAGAATTGGAAGTGGTCACCAGGAGTTGTGTCTGCATGTGACTCGAAATGTTCCTTAAGCTGCAGCATCTTTGAGTATAATTCACTTAGCAAAGGACATACGTAGTTTACAAGTGCAGCAAGTGAGGAGATGATAAGAGATCTTTTTTCATGATCTAAGATCTCTTCATAGAAGTAGCAGTTCCATCTGAAGCAAAATGCTTGTCTTACAGGTGGCATAGGCTAAGTCTGGTGAATCTTTCTTCTTTCTGTATGACCAGTTACTCTTTGAATACACAGGAATGTGGAACTGGTGACAGTTAATTTAAGGGGATCTCTGTTGGAAACTGAGCTTACTATATAATTTTGGTGAAAATAAGCACTCTTAAAATTGCTTAATACTTGTTTGTAACAATAATAAAAAGAAAAAAGAAAATTCCTATGTACAGGAAGAGAGTAGCACAAATAAAAGGACCAGAAAGCAGAAAATCAATGATTTTTTGCCAAAAAGGAGTACAGAAAATAAAATAATCTTTCAAAATAAAAGATGACACTTAGCTTGTTTCCTCAAAGGAAATAAAGGGTATGTTTGTATTGCTTCAAAACCAGCCTCATAGGTAATGAAGACAGTGGCATATGAGATCAGGCGTACCCTCCTGGACATGTAGAGGTGTGCATGCTCAAGCGTAACTTGCCATCTTTGCACAAATCAGAAAGGAAACAATAGGTAGCTTGCAGGCTGCTGATGTAGCAATCATACGAAGAAAAAGTGGAGGCAACAGAGAGGTAGGAGAAGCAGGATGGAAATGCAAACACAATGCTTGATAATAAATTCCCCTCACCCAGGGCATTCCTGAAATATGAACTATATTCTCTGAAATTTGAATGTACGGAGAGGCCTATATCATTAGAGCACCTTCTTTTTTCCTGTTGCCTAAGAACACCTAATTTGGAGTTTGAGAATGATTTATTTGGTGGTAGTGTACTGGTGCCTGTTCAATTATTCCAGTTTATAATTCAGACAACAGCATGAGCACTTCAGTTTTCAGAGCTATCAATATTCAGATCTTCTACTCTGGCAGGCTTTCTGCAGTTGACTTGCTCTGTCAAAGCTTATACAGGGCCAAATAGGATCCACCCTAAGGTGAACTGAGGTTTTTGTGAAGACAATGCATAATGAATGATGACTACTGGTGAATATATCACTCCTACACTCTAATTTGGAAAGCCAGCAGAATTGTACTGGGAACAGACATCTTCCTGACAGGTTTCGCAATCAGCCTCTGTAGGCTGATCACACAAAAGCAAAGGCTCTCCCTTAGGGCCTGCCTACTAATCTAGAACCAAAAGCTGGCTTGCCAGCTTTCAAATAGAGCATTCTATCTGTTTTCCATGACAAGGATATATAAAAAATTTGTACTTGCATAAAGAAGGTTCTTATAAATCCCATACTGTATACAAAAAAGTTCGGAGACTGCTCTGTGGTTGAGCTTCCAAAGTCACCCTAAGGTGACTTTAGATAAAATTTTAGGTATGTTCATGAGGAACTGAAAATAAAATATTAGTGCAGATGTGTGAGTAGAATATGCTTGTAAACTACATTTTTCATTTAATGTAACATCTGCTTTTACATACCAAGAGTGGCTATTGAGAAAGAGATTTTTAGATTTTTGTTAATCCACTTCCATTTGTAACATAACAGTACTGCATCTTGCACAGAAGTTGTAGAACAGTACACATTATACAGGATTTCTACCTCTTCTGCATTGTTTTTGATTTACAAGACTGCCAGCTTTTAACAGAGGATTGCAAACCTCCTTCGCTGTCCTGTTCCTGATAAAACCTTTCTACAAAGAATGTAGTTTGCTCTGACTGTTGCTTTCTGGAATAAAATGTGCTATAAGAGGCTATTGCTTTTGGATTTTTAGGTATGCAAACTTTGATTCAAATAGACTTTGTTATTCTTCACTGGTATCAGGACAATGACAACATGCCTTTTTTTTTTTAACAATATAATGCATCTTTCACTTGCATGCGTGCATTGTTTCCTTGACTGATTTTGTGTTTAGAGTTTTACTGAAAGAAACATTCTTCGTATGTATTATATTCTGTTCACTAGAATAACTGGAGGGAAGAAAAAAGTCCTGTATATCTGAAATATTTGAGAAAAATTTACTGTTTTGATTTTTTTTTAATTTAATACCAGTAGATATATCTGAAGCAAAATTACTTTTTTTTTTCCTGACGGTGATATTTATTAAAGTACCATATTGCATCACTAAATTTCTAGTTAAGATGAAAATTGATTATATTTAATCTATGTGGTTTAGATTCAGTTTTAAGAACACCTATGTGCCTACTCAGCAGTATTCATTTTACTGTGTTCACATTGATCTGAGTAAAGATTGATATAGCTAGAAAAGGAAAATGTAAAACAATATTTAAGGTGGTTATAAAAATGATCTCCTCCTCTGCTAAGACATGTATTCATAGTATCTTTCTAAAAGACTGCATAACTAAAAGTTGTGTTTAAATTATCTTTAGATATTGTACATTAATCAAAATGTACACTGTATCTTTAGTATACTGTAAGTTACAGCTCACTGGAGGTTAAAGATCAGTACACAAATCTTGCATCCTTGGATGTACATTTACAAATATTAAACTAATTAGTTTAGATAGTATTTAGTTTAGATAGTGTTTTCAATGTGAAAATGAGTTTTGAATATAGGCTAGAATTTGCAAAGATATTAAGAGCAGGCCATATTTTTGAAATTGCTTCTGAAACTGAACTATCTCAGTTGCAATATAAAATTCTGCATGTAAATCTCAGGGGTTGTTTCACAGCCTTCTTAAAAATATGATTGTGTATATCTAGCAGTTTTTTGGCTCAGTGCTCATGTTTAATATGGTATACTTTTAAGAATGGATGCTGCCTACTCACGCAGCATTCACAGGAGAATGCAAAGACCACATCATTTGTAAAGTGGCACAAAAAGATTTTAAAAAATGGTCCCCATCTTATTCTGCCCCAGTATCGCGTGTTGAATGGGAAAAGAAGGAAACAAAGAAAATGAGGATAAGCATGTTTTGCTTATAAATGTTGACAGTTCATTATAATAGTTTCAAAATTCATCGTACATCACTGTTATAGGAAAACTAATTATTGTGTTTATTGTTTAGATGAATTCTGGTTCTCAGATGGGTCCTTGTCTGATAAAGCAAAATTCAATGATCCTGGCCTGATGCCCCTGCCAGACACTGCCACAGGGCTAGACTGGTCCCACCTGGTAGATGCTGCACGAGCGTTTGAAGGTAACAGGAAAACTTGAATAAAGATCACTGTTCCATACACAAATTTTTCTTTTTAATATATTGCATAGCCACGTTTTGAATTACTGGAATCCAATGTTTTGCCGCCATAGCCCTGTAGTTCTTTTGGCAGTATCACTTTTCAATGCAGAAGGTAAATAAAGAAAAAACCTCATTCACCTTTCTGTCAGCTAAACTTACATACACATACTTAATTTAGAAACTGAGAGGAGTAGATGTTTGTTTGAGTGTATATATGGATATGTATAGTTATATGTTGAAGTGTTTGTTGTTTCTGTGAGATATTTTGGTTAGGTCACTGTGCTTTCCTAAAATTTGTGCCGTTTGTTAACTGGCATTACTGTCATTAGAGAAGATAAGAGAAGTCAGAGGTATCTGTGAGTAACAATAGTGACGTTACCACAACCATCATATTATTTAAGATTCAGGTATTACCTTTATGAGGAGAACTGGTGGAGTTAGTGATGAAATGTTCTTGTGTTTTTTCCAACTAGAAGCAACTGTGGTAATCAGGTTTCTGGTATGAGTTCTTCTCTAAGTATGAAGTGATTAAATTTTAATTTGATAAAAAGCTATTAACTTACTATACTAATTTGAATGTCAGTATTAACATTTCAAAAAAAAAAAAAACCCTAATGAGCAGTGATGATTAGCAATCTAAAGTGCCGTATTGTTTCTTAAACTGATTAACTTTATGTTCATTAATCTCTGTTCAGTAGTACTTAAACGTGTCTGTTGAGCATGTAGCTGGTAGGAAGTATTGTAAAGCTGAGAGTCTGACAACTGTTTCCGTGTATTTGTATGCTTAATTGCTCAAGGAAAATTCTGGTGTTATTGGCATCTTAAACAACTGAAAATATATTTGGATCAGTACAAGACAGATGTTGTAACTTTGTGTATGAATAATATTTTTAACTACTATATATAAAAAATTAGGAGTTCAGTTAAGTAAAAGCTGTTTTTCTGCACGAGTTATGCTCTTGTTTTTAAGAAGATTTTTTTTAACTTTAATAGATTTTACTTGTTTTTACTTCTTAATATTGGAATAAGAATAAAAATATCCTTCATTTAATCGGTTTGCAGAATTTCACTTTGGAAGTGTTATGTGAATGTAATTACTATTTGAATTTATGAGGGAGAAGTAGAACAACATAGATAACTACAGTGGCCTATTTTAGGGAGGGAGTATTTACATGTTAGGTTTTAACTGAAAAGATCTCAGATATATTTGTAACTAAAAGCAAAGAATTGATGACCTCGGTCACAAGATAGAAACTGTGTTACTGGGGGATTTTTTTTTGAATTCTTAGCAGAATTTGAAGAGTATATAATACTCTAGTTTTGTATGGAATAGAATTTTTTTCTGTTTAGGACTCTTCAGTGGAGACACTTGTGCATTTGTTAGGTGATTTATAAAATACTTTGACTAAATAGTACTCCAATTTGAATCTTTTGACTAGGAATAGTTTTTTGTTGTTGTTGTTGGTTTTTTTTTTTTTTTTTACACCTTTGGCCAACTTTCTGTGTACCATGTCTTACAATTAGAAAGTCATTTAAATAAGAATAAATGATTGGCATATCATGAAAAATTCACTGGGAAGGAATGTCTTATGATTTACTTTTAAAATGATTGGATATGAATTGGCAGATGCTGTTTCCTTATGTATTTTAATGTTGTCCTTTAAAACTGAGGAGCACTTCAACGTGGTATTTAAAAATAGCTTGGAACCACATATCTGCGTTCTATCACTGTGAAAAAGTATAGTTGATCCTAAAGATTTTGTACTTATGAATATAAAACTACTGCCATCTTTTCAATAAACTAGATGGAAATTTGATCACATTTATGTTGGACCATGTGAAAACAAAAAAAAGCAAAACCTAAAACAATCCAAAAATCCCTTCAATTAAAAAAGATCCAAAAAATGGATAGGACTTAATACTGAGCAAATAAATTAATGTTAGAATTTAGCCTTAGTTAGGCTTTACCAATCTGATATTTAAATTTTGTGCTCTGTGCAGGAACCTAGACACAACACTTCACTTTGGCTTTTTCCATTTAAAAAAATTCTTTTTTTTAACATCAACTCATTAGAACTACCAATCTGATTCCAAAGTTAGAGTTTTTGCCCCATGGTCTCTCCAGCCTGTATATAGGCAACCCATACATTTTTGTCAGTTCAAAATCCAAAATGCAAACTTTACAATCTTCTTTTGTCTCTCAAAATGTCATTGTACCCAGGTTAATGTTATATATTATAGATAGTCTTTTTTTAGGTGTTTATAGTGTTGGAGTTAGTTGATTAAGAATTAAATACAGTAGCAAAATTTTTGCAACCATTATCTGGACTAATAATTTACTCATAGGTGAAACAAGAAGGGGTCTCATTTTTAGCTATTTTTTCCCCGACTGGACAGTTGGGAAAATTGCTTATTCATTAACATTGGCTTGGATCCTAGTGAAGCCTTGGTCTTACGTAGAACAAAAGTTTCTAAACTGTGGTCTGCAAGGGTGGTGTTAGTGGCTTAGAAGAAGTGTAAGAAGCTGTGATGACTTTTTTGCATTAAAAGTACAATGAGAGTGCTGCTTTTCACATTGTAAGGATTTCATTTTAAATGTTTTTGCTTCCACGAACTTTTGTAGGGAGCTGAATATTTACTTTACATTTTTCCTGAAAATCCTTTATTATTCATAAGACAGGTCTTCATAGTGCAATGGAGAGCTGTGCAAGGGTTTGCTCCACAAGCTCCAGAAGCTGCATGAGTAAGGTTTTGTGCCTGTACTGTTTCTACTGAGAGTCAGTGTGTGTAAGCTGGAGCCCTGTGCAATGTTGTTTAAGTCTTTGCACTATCTTCTGTTGCAGGCCAGGGATTTGCCTCTAAATCATTCATGCAGTCAACAGCAAGGGGTACCCTTCAATTTCTTTCACATGTGGATAAGCTACTTCCAGTTCTTTTGTTTTTATTTTGATGGGGACTACAGAGAAACAGTAATCAAGGAGCAGTTGACACACTAGAAGTTCAATGTGCAAATATCTTTGTATCCATTTCTGAAGCAAACAATGAAAAATACGGAGAGAACTGGGTATGACTGTGCAGCAAAAGAGAAAAGGTAGCGTTTCAGGAAGGGAAACTGGGGGCAAAAGGAGAAACTGAGGCAGCAAAGAGAGAAAACAACATGCTGAATTGAGTAAAGATATGGGGATTTATGGAATAAATTGGAGAGCCGAATGAGAGGATTACAAAGAAATCTCAGAAAAGAGTAAGGAGAAAGAGACAATTTTTTTAAAAAAAATTTTTTTTGTATTATCCTTCTCCTAGCTTTCCAACTTAGGAAAGAAAGATAGGCTTGAAACATGTATTATGTTAAAGCTGATAGCTAATTTTGGATCATGTAGAAGAATTGGCGTGGGTGAAGGGAGAAGCCTTCCTAGATGTCCATAGCTCTTTCTGTCATTCTAGGAAAAGGGAATTGACATACATAAACAAAAATGTATATTATTATTATAAATAGATCTTATTACTATTTGTCTTACCTTAAAGTGTTTGTAACCTACTGAAAAAACTGTTAAGTATTTTGTAAATCACACCACCGCCTGTGAAAGTCCCTCTGATGTCCCGGATTTAATTCATTAAAATGGGTGGTTTCAACCGTTGATTATTTTTCCCCAAGTTATTTTTTATGAGTTTCTACTAGTCATGCCAATCAGAATGCAGCGTTTCTTAATTCTAGTTTATCTTTGCAGAAACATCTGTGCTACTATAATTAATATTGTTTTAACATTTCCATTTAAAATATTCATAGCGTACTACAAGTAATGCTACAGAAGACATAATGAGGAAGAAGTGAAGCATTCAACATAAGAGATAATTACTTTAACCAAATTAGTATGTTAAACTTTTAGAAAAATAAAACATGAAAATATTTAGGTAACAATCCATCATTTTAAATGCATACATGTGTAACTCCTGCATAAGTCTGTATATGCTTGTGGGTAGACTTTGCCTTAATAATGAGAGGGCTACTTCATACACGATACTGATTTTAGCCTTTTCTGCTCTCCAGTACCTGAAAATTGCCTGGATTTTTTCTGGCCTCTAATAGTAGGCTGAAACAATGCAAAGCCAGGCTCAAATTCTGAGTGGTTACAGCTATACAATTCTATTACCTTCAAGTGGGACAGATTTTGTCTCATCTTTGTGTCTTTCACAAGTCACCTGTTGCTTAAGTTTTTGATGTGAACACTAAAATATTTTCTCAAATAGCTTTTTTATGCATGGTTCCTACCCGTGGCATGACAAGGGGTGATCTAGATAAAAATCAGAGCTCTGATATTATATGTGTTTTCTTCTGTTAGTTTGCATTTAATCAGTTGAGTTGAAGAGAAGGTGTCCTCATAGACTGGAGGAAACAGAGCTTATGTCTGTAATACCATAGTCAGAAACAGACTTGATTTCTTTCAAAAACTTAACTGTCAATGAAGGTAGCTTTGATTTCACTTTCATGTGTAGAGAGTGAAGCCCATTCTGTTAAAAACAAATAAAAACAAAATTTATAGCAAGATTTTGTTAATGGAAGCACAAGTTCAACTGTAAACCCAGTTCAGATTTAAAAAAAGTTCTGATATAAATGATAAATTGATTACTGAATGTGAATTTTTATATGGAGATCAGTGGGACTTGAAGTAGTTATGGAAAGTAAAAATGTGTCATTCCACTGCGTGTTTAGCAAAAGTCCTATTTGGTTGCACACTTTTCTATTTTCCATAACATTAAAAACTACTCAAAGGCAAAAATTTTTACTACTCAAGGATCTTGTTGATGTGCTAGTTATTAAAGCAGTTTATTGTGTTACCAGCTTGTCAAGGGAGCAGATTTGACAGTAACCTGGCTTTTGAAAATTAAGTAACTATTTTTGGAGGAGCATCACAAAAATGTATACAGTATGTTATATGATAGGAGACTCTTGTTTATTATGTGATAGGAGACCATGTAGTGCCCTCACCTGATCGTCAGTGTTCCTCACCCAATGAATATGAGGATATGGTTTTATATTTTATAAAGAACTGAATACTAGAAAAATATTTTAAAGTTATATCATGAAATTAGAGACCGTTTAATAGTTAATTTCCTACTTTATGCATTAATTTTTTTTAAATGATGTGCTGTTGGAATTTATTAGTGATTATGCAAGAAAGAAGCACCTGTGTTTTTATAATTTTTTCTTGTGCTTAGAAATAATATGAATATATTTTAAAATACCCAATTTAAAAAAATTCATCCTGTGATTTCATTAATGGCTGCGTGTATCCCTTTATATACATGCTTTTATCCATAAAGAAAAAGATATTTTAAAATCCTGCTAGGAAGAACAAACTCGCAAAACTTTTTCGCAACTGACAAAGTAATTTATTGACTGCAATAAGACAAACAAATGACCATTCTCTTCAGTTAAGCCTACTCAGCAGTGGGAGAAATATTCAGGTTTTTATATTGGAGTAGAATTGTCTCAGAGGCACAATGTTAGGCATGTCACATATTACTGGCCGTTAGTAAAATCATAACATAGAAAAAATAGTGGCAGTGTAATATTTGTTGCTGACTGTTTTCTTCTATCAAGTGTAATGAAAACACGAGCAAAATATAAAAGTGAAATAGATAATTAGGTGTGTACTTCAAACTTATGCCCCATGTCTTTGTCAGCCTGATTGTTTATGCAGTTTTGTTTCAGTCCTACAAACTGCATTTGAGTAGGGAAACTAGTTTTAGCTTATTTGACCAATTTAAATTTGTTCAAACTAAGGTGTTTGAATTCTGAAAGTTGTGTCATTGATTATTAGTTTAAAATTATATTCTTGCCTTATTGTCAACACGTATGAAAAAGCCATGTTCATGTTTGCTGAGATCCATTGCTAGTGAGAAATAAGGATAAAATTCAGAGAAATCACCTGTGATCTTTAAAAATAGATAAAAAAAATGGCATGCAACTTTATTATATAATGAGTTGTCAGTCTTTGCTAATCCTTAAAAGTGATCATTTTAAAATCCCTTTAAACAGCTCTTTAGTGAGTTTTTTTCATATTTTTCTTTGATAAAACCTTTTAAACAAAATTTTCTCCCTAGCTAAAATGATCTGGCTTGTATTCACTGTTTTTTCCGGTGCTTAGAGTCTGGGGGGTTGTCTTTTGGTGTATTGTTCCAAGTTGTCATGCTGTGTGTTACAATACTGGATATTAATATTGGAGAGACAGGGCATGAAATCTCATGCTTTATTGTGATGCTGGTATTGTGTAAAAATGGTTTTGAAAGGTGGACAGTGAGAGCCAGCACGAGCTGCATTGGGAGTATTCCCTTACGTGAACTTAACATAAGGCCACAGCTACTTCAGTGGAGATGGTCTATTTGTTTATAGGAACATTCTAAATCTTATTCCAGGTTTTGACTCAGATGAAGAACTTGGGCCACTCTGTCATCACACGCCGTTTCTAGGTGATGATCTGGGATTGATGACTTTTACCTTTTGTAAACTTTCTTTAATATTTCCTGTGTTTGCACGTTTGCATGGTAACGCAAGCTTTGGGCCTGTGGGGTGGCAGAGCGAGGGGAGAAAGGGCAAGGCAGGCATGTTGTGGCCAGATTTATACAAACTTATGGGCATGGATTTTTTTTGACAGAAATTGGTTAAATCAATCTCCAGGGAATATGGATTATTCATAGAAGAAAATTTAAATCATAATGAATGCATTATTTACTCCTTTTCTGTGCAATGATGATCTGCATGGCATAGTTTTATTATGTGGTGACTGGTGTATTTTGGCAACCGCGCTGTATATCCATGGGTAATTATATTTGTGCTTGTTAGACTATGTTCCAGTGAAATCCAACATAGAGAACGTGTCATAGTAAAATATATGACAAAAACTCAATTGATACCAACAGCATTAATTTATTGTTTTTCAAGTATGCAGATTACCAGGAGGTTCTGCAAATGCTTGAGACAGTAAAACAGTACAAACTGAACAGTGCAGATTTCTGAGGAATCTGATGGTTTTGAATCCATGGAAAATGCAAACCTTTTCACTGAATTGTTATTGTCGTTGGTTGTGGCCCTGAACTCCCAAAAGATTTTCTGTGAATTTCATCAAGACCAAGTTACTGTTTAAATCAGCATTAACTGGTCCAAAAAAATCTGTTTTACTCTGCTGATACGTGCAAAACAATGGGCTTTGAGGTTGTCTTTGGATGCAGATGTTGGGAAACCAACTAACTGGAATATACTTTACATCTGCTGATTATCTTCAAAGCTGTGATGTAGAAACCTACATCCCTCTCTCTAACTCTGCCTTGTAAATGACTATAATATAGGCTTTCATTTGGTATATATTGGATATTTACTCATATCCTTACATTACTTTTTTACAGATCAGAGAGTAGCATCTTTTTGCACCCTGAATGATATGCAGCAAGCTCAGGGTTTGGAGGGAGCACAAGATTTACCTTTGGATGAGAGTCCCACAGATGGAAAAGATTTCCTTGAGGCTACAGGGTATGTCATAATTAGAGCAAATTCTTAAAAAGTAGGAAAAAATATTTTCTGTTAATGTTGCATGTTACGTGATGGTGGTAGAGATGTTCCTCCTGTTCCTTGTGGTAGAGGTGGTACAGGAAAAATAGCTGAAGGGCTAGAAGCTAGCTGAAGTAGCTAGAAGATGACAAATACTGCTCTCAGTACAGCAGAAGGTAGATGGGGTTTGTTCTTTTCCCTAAATTAAATGCTCTCTTCGCCCCAAAAAGGGAGGGGACAGGAAAGAAAATTGATAGACAAAACTGGGAAAGATGGGTAATATGGGCAGACAAAAGCATCATAAAGGGAGCGGAGAGTCAACATGTCAATATTGTGGAAAAAAGGAGGAGAGGAAAATGTTCAGGTTTTAAAATTACATGGACTACCTTAAAAAAAAAAAGTCTAGTTTTCCTTTTTTTCTATGTTGTGTATACTGAAAATTAGAAGGAGAAATACTTATTCATAAGTTCAGCACACTGGAATGTTGAAAATAACCTGACATCAGATTTCACACTTGCAGGTAGTAGTGAACACAACCTTTTCAGAATGTAATAGTATAGTTTATTGTATGACCTTTGGCTATGGAAAGTTTAGAATTCAATTGAAACTGTTCAGAAAATAGCACAGTATCTATAAACCTGAAGAACTGTCAAGAAAATAAAACATTGGGTGGAATTATTTTGGTCTAACTACTGCTTTAGGAAAGTTAAGAATGATTTTTACAGCTCATCAGTGATAGACTTTATCCACAGGGGACTGCCAAGCTTGTTAGCTTCAAAAAAGCCAATTAATGAGGCTGCCTTGCAAAATAGTTGCCATAATAATACAAATTATAAAACTTGCTTTCAAGGCCAGCAGATCATGAAGTTAGATCATGAAGAAATCAGTTAAATTAGATCATGAGTTACTAGACAAACACACCTTTCTTGAATCTTGATGTACCGTAGTAACTACCTCTATCTGTATAATGATACAAGGTTTCTTGGAGAATTTATAGCAATGAACTATTGAGCGATATCTCTTTTCCTTAAAAAAAACAACAACAACAACAAAAGCAGTTACTTTAACAGAGTTATGAGAGCAAGAAAAAGCATTCTTAAAGTCAGTGGCAGATGCTGAAGGACCCAAAATTTTTAAAAATATGCTTGCTTCTTAAGTGTCACTGCTGACTGAAGGTACCCAGCTTTAAGCACCTATTGTTTGGAAAATTTTAGTTGTGTTTTGAGGTTTTTGGTTTTTTTTTTTTTTTAAGTACAAACATATGCTAGTATAATACATAATGTTTTGCTTGTGTGAACATTGCCTGTGTCATCCCATAAATATTTTTGCCATCTACATGACAATACTGGGAAGCTTTCTCTAGAAACTCTCTATGAAAATGAGTCAGAGGGTTTTATCTCCAAAAGCATGATGTCAAATTGTCTGTATACACACTTCACTGTTACTTGTTGACAAACTTGTTGCTTTGACTGAACATGCCTTTAAATTGCTTCTGGAAAATGTCATCTCTTGCAACCAGCCTCAGAGCAGTTCCATCTAGGAATTTTGTAGTATAGCCAGAGAAATTGTTCTCTGTAAAATAGGTCTCTAATACAGTTAGGTACACAGAGTTTTGGCTAGTCACTTTGTGGTGATCTATTGCACCTCAAAGTTGAATTTTTCACTGTATTCCTCCTATAAAATAGTTTATGTTGTGCTTTTTCCTATTTTCATCAGAACTGAAAACAGGAGCTATAACACTCTGGTATGCAATAAACTTATCTGTATCAAATGCCTCGGACCTTACAACAGGTGTTCCTACCTAACTTTTGCAACTGTTTGAGGAAATACATGAATGCATGTTCCAGCAAAAATTACTACTTGCAAATCAATAATTTTCTCTTTATACAGAGAGAAATTAATCAAAAGAACTTGTAACTGAGGGTTGCAGAAGACTTTAGTGTCATAACTGTCCTAATTCCTCACACCCAGTGCTCTGGGAGAGAATTAATTATACCCTTTTTTTTCTCCTCATCTTCTCTGCTGTGGGGAGTATACTTGTTTTAAAAATAGAGAGATTCAACAGTAGAATCTGTCCATTAGTACACCGTAAAAGGAAAAACACTTATTTGATTAGTTTTACTTTTCAACTGCAGGACTAGAAGAAAAGGAAATGGAGGGAACATAAAGCTTTTAAGTCTTCATGCTTTTTAGACTATCACATTTCAATTTGAATCAATTTTACACAACTTAACTTACTTACATGGTAAAGCACATTTCTTTTAATGACTTCTAAGACCACATATTTCCACCAGCTAGTGAGTAGTAAGGATTGCAAAAGTCTGTTAAAGATGTTCCACTTTTAGCATTGGCAAATCTGTACAATTTGCACACTTGCATGAAGCAGCTGATTCAGCTTCAAGTATAACTACATATTCTCTCTTCTAGACAAACTAATTCACATTATGTCTAATTTCATCTATAACGTATATGAAACTCGCTCCCAGAGTGTTCATTGTCATACAGAAAGAGAAGCTCTTCTCAGGATTTTCCTTCAGTCATGCATTTGATTAACCTGTGGCAGTATTTCATATGTTTTGACCTTTGAACAAAATATTTGTCTTCATAAAGTCATAGGTTTTTCTTTTACTGGAAATGGCACAACAGTAGACTAGACAAAAGAACTCCTAACAGCTCTTTTGCTTTGCCATACTGCTGCTGCAGCTTGCTTCAAGTTATTACAGCCCTTATCAGAAAGCAGCTTGTTAACAAATGCGCACAGCACACCATTTAGCAGTGAGTTTGTGCTGTGAAGATATGTGCAAATAATTCCTAAAACGTTCCTTCTTAAAATTATTTTAATTTCTCCCTGATTAGCATGAGAGGCAGTCATATTTTGGGTATCATAGCAATGATTTATGCTTCAGTAATCGCTTTCCGCTCTTTCTGTTTTTGTCTGTATTTTCCTAACTATCCCTAAACTGCTTTATTTCCATTGCTATCGCTACAAGTATTATTCTGCAAAACTTGGGGGAGCAAATATTTTTAACTAACCCAGAGTAAGGTAGTTGCTTACTTTACAGGGAACACGCTCCTACTACTCTGACTGGAAAAGTAAACCAGCTAGAGGTGATCCTCCGGCAGCTACAAACTGACCTGAGAAAGGTAAAAAGTCATTACTAGCATTGTTATTCTCCAGTTTTAATAGCTGTATTTTTATGCAGAGTTCATCGAGGGCTTGGAAAAAACACGTCAGTTAAACTAAATAACGTGATGATGATCAATGAATTGTAGAGCTCAGTGGTTGATCAGTACACTGAAGCGCAAAAGGTCCCATGGAAATGGTTATGTAAACAAGTCCCTGCAAGGCTAACAGATTTACAGGTCATTAACTACTCCAGAACAGGTGTCCCACATACAGTCATATCCTAGAGTGAATATGAGGTACTTTATCTCCATTTTATTTACGGTATTTTGGACTTAACAATGGATAGGAATATGCACAGGGGCACTATTTCTAAGTAGTTAACACTAAATTTGTCATCCATGTTGCCTTACGGTATCTTGATCATTTAACAATGACATGACTTGTGTCTCATTTACTGTCTAATTCTTGAGCTGGAAACAGTACCAGGACTGCTAGAAAGAGACCACTTTTGGTAAGAAAATAATCATGTAAGGGAAATTTCTGAAACCAGCCATATTTCTTACTTAGTGTAAAACTGAAATCAAAACTCTGTGACTTGAGCTCTCGGGTATCATTTGCGATACCTGAGAGCTTCTTTTTTACTGCTTGAGTCTTTTGTTAAATGAACTTATAGAATTCTTGCATTGAAGTAGAATACAGTTTTCTTTTTAGCCTGCAATATTCTCTCTTCCAAACAACATTGGAGCACATTTTGGAACTCGGCTTACAGTTGGTAGCTGTTGCGATGGGTTAGGAAGCTCAACAAAATATAGCTGTTTGACTTGCACAGAAGTATTAGCAAAAAAAATAGATGTTGTCATCATGGCTGCTCACTTTATTCAACTTACCTTTTATTAACCAGGAAAAACAGGACAAAGCAGTTCTCCAAGCAGAGGTACAGCACCTGAGACAAGATAACATGAGACTTCAAGAGGAGTCTCAAACGGCAGCTGCTCAACTGAGGAAATTTACAGAATGGTTTTTCAATACGATAGACAAAAAATCCTAATGTCTGAGCCCTGTGAAAATCCTTAATTCAACAGTATAACAGCTGTATTTTTGAATTAGCGGGGTAATAATTTCACTGTGTTCACAATCCATTTTAGGTGTTTCTGCTACATTCTCTATCCAGCTTTATTCATTTGAACAGGAGAGAGAACTGTGGTAATCTGTCTTTAAATTCCTATGACGAAAGCAGAGAGTAGCAGATGTTTGTTTGTGTGAAGATGAATGTAAAAATTATTGGTGTCATTTTAGACATTTTTAGAAGATGCTCTGGCTGGGGCTTGCCTGAAGAGGAATATTTGGGGTTTTATTTCCTGCATTTCAGGTGCATTGGTAAAGATGTTAAAGCAATTTACATTAGCTTGGGCTTCAGTATTGTAAGATAAAAAGAATAACCAGACATATACTTTAATGTTTAAAAGGTGCTCTATTTTTTGTATGTACAGTAGTTTTATTTCCACAGTCCACATTGTCATAGCAATAAGAATGGAGGTATAGTGAATAGTCACAAAGCTGTGTTTATAAAACGTTAGCACTGATGTGTTTAACACTAGTTTGGATGCAGATACATTAGAGATTATTTATTTGCAGGAACAAATGGTGCCTGAATATAAACAGTGTTCTGATTTTCTAAAGATACATATGCCTTGTAAATGGCTCACAGGGGTTAGCTCGCTCCCAACTTCAGTTACTTTTGTATAGTTGATGTTCAGCTAAAACAGTTACACTGCTTAACTATTGAATCATGTATGGTGTGAGCCAGCCAATCAATTGTACAATGCCAAATTTGTTTATCTTTGTACAGAAGCTTTGATCAAGTGTCCTGTATTTAACACCTTTATTTAAGCTTATTTAACCTTAAATTGTTAATTTTATAAAGTTTGTTTTATCTGCACTATGGTGAGGTCAGTTGGCTGCAAGTTGTAATATTTTTAGCTTGCCAAGACTGTACTGAGGAGTTCTAGAAAATTCTAACAATTGGATGCTGCTAGTACACAATTGATTTGTTTGTATGCTTTAACATTTTTAACTGTTTAATTTGAAATGAACATACATCCTGCTTTTTTAATAAATGTTAAAAATATAAATCTGAAAATTATTTTATCTGATATTGTCTACAACCAGTGCCATCACTACTAGCTCAGGTTTCTGCTCAGTCCACTGCAAGTATCACCTTCGTCTGGAATCCCGATTTCTTGGCTTCTCGGTCCAGAGAGGGTCCAGCCCTCGCGAGCTCCCATGGTCCCTTGTTCACGTTATCAGAGCTGATCTCTTTGGTGTGTCCTGTCCTGCAGCGGAGGAGGTAGCTTTATAGATCAAGGAACAAAAGCTATCCTGAGTCTTCACAGGCATTGATTAGTTATCTAGCAGAGAAACTGCTTTATTCAAAAATATGTCCTAAAGAAAACATTTTCAAAAGGTGTCAAATTTTTTCTTATTATCTTAAATTAATCATAACAGCAAATAGCTTGCCATCCACTTGTGTCTGCAATCAAAGATCTGATTACAGTGTTAGCATCTGTGAGATGTGAAAGCAAGTTGATAACAGCTTGGGCTATTTTATGTTCCTTTTATTTTGCTACAGTTTCATGTATAGTAATGTGCTTAAAATCTATGCCAAAAAGTATAGTTTTTACAAAATGAAGTGAAGATAATGAGCACCTTTGAAGTTATGCTTCTGAGAGAAAAAATAGTTAAAGATCATGGTGGGATCTCAATTTCCTTTCAGTAGCTGAATGCATTCAGGCAAAGCTGCAGAAAATCGTAGAATATTTCAAATATATATTCAGCTGATGCAAATAATAGTCTGCACCTATTATTACTATATATTGGCTGAGAAACTTTTTTGTAAGTTGAACAAATGTCTGCCTCTAGTACAATAATTGTTTTGAATGACTTATCTTAGGAAAGGTTATAAATAAGCAGAGTATCAAGGCTTTGGTACCCTTATTTCCAAATGAAAAAGGCTATTTTGTCTTTATACTTCCATCAAAACCTCTGATCTTAAATACCAAATAATGTCCATTAAGCTTTATTAACTTAGAGTAATTAAACATGGCAGTCGTGTTCCACTGGAATCTGATTTAAACACCTTGCAAGTGTCATTAGCAAACCCATCTATCTGGCTGGAGACCTTGCCAAATAGCAGCTTGCACAATTTGTTTGTGAACGTGTGTCTTTATAGGTTTATCCTCTTTGAAAAGCTGTACTAACTGAAATAAACTTGAGAATAAGCTTTTTCTGAAGGGGTGCCACTGAGTTTGTGATAGAGTTTATTAGTACAAAGTTCATTTGCCTCAGTGGAGGCAAAGGTTGTCTACTTTAGCAACTAATGTGGAATACAAGGAAACTTTACGGTGTTGAGGGCCCAGTTTTGGAGGGTGAGAGGAGTTCTTCCAAACCATCTTGTTAGTCCCATGACTAAAAACCCTTTAGTGGTTGAAGTGGTTCATTAGGTGGGATCTGGATTAAGTTCGTCTGGAAATAATCTGGTCTCTGGGCTCCAAAGCCAATCCACGATATGAACCAAAGCATAGTAACCAGAAGTGACTGGGAAATTCACTTCAAAGACATGTTCCTGATCTGAACTAGAAAAGTAACATGGAAGTGTTTTAAATGTCAGCAAAGCCTTTCCAGCACAGCTGGCCATGCTGTGAAGTACTGAGATGCGGAAACCAAACCTGTGAGCCAATTCAGGTGCTTACTTCTGTAAAAGAGACAAGTACAAATCATGGTAAGATCACAAAACTCTCTACTTCTGCCTTAAAAGTGAGACCTTTAGTTTCTATGCAGGTTCGTATTGAAATGTTTCCCAGACATTTCTTACAACATGGACCATATTTTAGTACATGGATTGTTTTCTGAGACTACTATTACAAAGATCTGGGATAATTTTTGATATTTTTCTGTCTCTGAGAACATAATCATATTGTGGATGCCTATTAGATAGCTTTATACAGAAGCTTTATGCATCATCTATGCCTTATTTAATATAAATTCCCAAATTAGTTCATCATCTTTTTGTGCCCAAAAGCGAGTTGTTTGGGAAAAAATGCTTAAAGTATTTGTAATACAAACAATCTAGGTTATTGTAGGGCATTTGCTTAGAAAGCAGTTTTCAGGCTGCAAAAAAAGAAAAGGGTCGTTACGTGCATTATGTTGTTATTGCACTATTTCTTGAGCTCTGTGCTGTAATTTTGTTTCTAACATCTAAGAAGCTCAGTGAAAGTCAGGGGCTGCTGTTGTATGATTTGAAAGCATCAGAAACATTAAATTATTGTGAAACGAGTTATTCTTTACTCGAGCTTCTCTCTCCCACTGCAAAGACTAGCAGGAAAAGGATGTCTTTCAACTGAGAAGCAACATTTTGCAGACAAAAGCTTGCTTCTGGATGTTTGGGAATAAGGTTATGCAAACTGAGAGGGAAATACATACTTTAGCAATACTGGAAACAAATTTGTCAGGAAAATAAATCTTAATCTCTGCTCTATTTTCAATGCACACAGGTTATGTTTTTCATTCTATTTCCCCTGAAGTGCACTTTCTCGGAATGAAAAGAAAATGCTATTCTACCCCCTCACCCTCACCCCTTGTTTCCCCGCTTTTCTCTTGGGAAGAATCCAAGCATGTGAGCCAGAAGGAAAACTTAAGTGAGCTCTAAAAGATCCCCGATCTGGACGGCCAGGGACCAAGTATGTTTGGGATTAGACATAGCACAGGTTCAATTCAATCTTACCTTGCAAAATGTAAATCTTTGCTATTTTGCAGACTCTTCAGTTACTGTCTTTTCACAGCACTAGCTTTCTGAATCAGGTTTTTAGTCATAAGTAAAGCCACGAGCCAAGAATGTGTTCTTCCAACCTTACTGTATCAAGCAGTTTTCTGCAATCTTTACCAGGGAAGCAATGAAAGAAAGAAGAGGGGAGCAGGGAATTGCGGAGAGCACATTTTCTTAGGTTTTATTTTGTTTGTCCTTTCAGACAGGCAAACAACATCTCTAGCTGTTGCAGTAAATTATGGGGACACAGCAGGAGCAGAAATAGGAATGAACAGGCCAAATTTCTTCTCTCCTTCCATTTTAGAAATCCTTCCAAGGTGTCTAACAGTTCAGTGTTGGTATCCTATTTATTTTATTGACTTATCTAGGGAAACAGTTTTACGTCCTTTATTCCATTTTTAAAAATGTGAGCCTTTTTGTTCTGCTGAACAACAGCATTTAAAGGCTGCTTTGCTATATAGCATCACAGAATTAATCTAGTAATAGTCACATTGATGTTGTCCTAACTGGAACAAACTGAGGCTGATACATGAATAATACAGATGAGTTAAGTTTTACAAAAAGGCTATAAATCTGTTTCTATGTCCCTGCCATACAATAGCAAATCATGAAATCTCAAAAAGGTGGAAAAAAAAGTGGATGGACTTTTTCTAATCAGTGTCATAAAAACAGAATGCATTATTGAATATGCTGTTGATATCAGTTCACCTGTTCTTGTGACTAGACATCAGCTGGGAGTGTTTAAAAAAACTGGAGGAAAGATGATGGAGATTAAGGAGGCATGGATGTGCTATGTCAGAAAGTGGGGTATGTGAAATACACCAATAGTAATCACAGGCAATACTGAGTTGTGCTTTTATTAATGAGAGATGACTCTATCTATACCCAAGCACTAGAACTTGAATAAAATTGGGACTATTAATGTAACTTGTTTATTTTTTGTAAATTCACTGTTTGGAACCCACAAATCAATTGTGGGACTATCCCAGGGAAAGTTGTTGTGATGAGTTAGCTCTGTCCAGAAATCTGACAGAATTTGGTTTCCAGAGAGTCAGGACTTAGTATCTAAGCAGTGGTACTTGGTCAGACTGAACTTACATTTAAAATGTTAGAAGTTTACTGCTTACCAACTTTGTTTCCCATCTGAAACTTATGAAAGTAAGTGACTAACAGAAAAATAAGAGAGCGTAGGGTGGTCTAGTACTAAGCACAAATCTAGCTATCGGGGGTTCTCATTACCACTAACGTTGTACTTGCAGCTCAGAAGGAACTTCGATAGATAGTATTTTCTTAAGAAATCTTTGTGGAAACTTAGGATTCCTGCATTCTGAGCAGTCCTGTGTTTCTCCTTCTACACTGGCATTTTGTTCAAGGCGATGGATGTTCCTTTCACAAAACCAATAGAGTGCTGCTTTTCGGTAAGAAATGTTTCTTTTGTGTGGAAGAACAGTGCTGCAGGAGGTATACTCTACCACTAGGGCAAAACGCATGCAACTTTAAGCTGTTAGTGCTCAAGGTAGGTTAGGTTATTCCTTAATAGGTTTAAAAATGAATCTGTATCTGAAATGTATGGCTGTTGACTCAGTTCTGCCACACAGCTCTCAGATTCTTGGTCTTCCCTCCCTTTGCTAAGAGTTTCTCAATAAGGGCTTCAGCAGGGGCAGCAAAAGGCTGCTTCGCCTAAACTTGGAATGTCTTCACTTGATGGAAAATACAGTTTTCTACGGGTAGGAATATCTTTTTCTTTCCTATACGTTCTCCTGTCCTGAAGCTTAAAGAGAAATTTCAAAGTGGCTCAGCGCTTCAACAAATCAAAGCCTGTTTATTTAAATAATTGTTTATTTAAATATGAGTGGAGGACCTAAACATAGGCACTGATTAATATGAAAATTTGTTCAACATTCTTTCAGTCAGCATATAGGCCAGAGCCAACCTTGTTTTCAGTGAGGGAAATGCCATTCCATCCATTCCAGTACACTTTGGCTTGGACAATGAGGAATGAAGCATCTGCCGTTCAAAGGAGAAAGCAAACAATGGGCTCATTACTACTTATTTTAATGTCACATAGTCAGCAGAAGCTGTATATCGTTTAGACAGACATACTCCAAATAGCACCATTGAACTGGACTGTGTTTTGTGGACCTGTATATTGATTTCTTTGAACACGTAGGCAAATCCAATCCCCCTGTTATATCCAATTCCTCTATTGTAAATCAGGATTAATATCACTGAAATTACTGAAGAGAGTAAAACTGGCACAAGTGAAAAAGAATCAGTCTCTCTGTGTGGAATGGTGAATTATAGTCAGACCCTGCTTAAAAATAAGGTCAAATGATTAGTCCAAAAACAGGATATGGAAATAAAATTGAAGTCTTTCTTTATTGACCATGACCTTGGTAGTCCACAGTTTGTTGGCTCATTGATTTCTAATGTTAATATGGTTTAAACCTCTTACTAAGCTCTGAAGAATGTTCTTTCAATAGAACCATATCTATTAAATGAGTCATTTGCTCTTTAAAACTAGATAGCTTCACAGCACAGCATGCAGTAAGCCTCCTAATGTCTTGCCAATTGTCCAGCAAGATTGTTGATATTTATACTGAGAAACTTTAAAGGGATGCTGACAAGAGAGTTTCATCATCTCTAAATAGCCTTATTAAGGTTCATGCATAAAATCCTCTTGGAAACTCAAAGTGCGAATTCTTGCTAAGACTGTGTTTAGGTACCTTCCTTTCAAGTCCATCCTAGTTGGTTATTGCAGAGCAACCCAGCATAGTTCAGCTGCTGCTTTTTTTGTTATAAAACAAACATGAAATAGAAGAGACTTTGAAAAAAAGCTAAGGAGAGAAAGTGAAATCAGTTTTCAGACTAGCATAGACGAGCATGCATTTTAAATATTTTATAATAGCTCAGGAGCGTTTTAATAATCCTCACAGAGAGAAAAACGGAGAAATAACTAGGCTGGCATATTTAACAGGCCAGTGATAATTCCTGCATGCTCCACATGTTCTCCTAAGCCACGCAGACAGGAAACCACATTACAGTAAATGAGTAACAACATGGTACAATGACTTGTCCACATGTTTTAGAAGAAATATATTACAAATTCCCTCCATAATTCCAGTAATTTTCAGCTCAAGGAAAGTTTTCAGAAATACCCAAGCTGCATTTTTTTTAAGTGATGTGGAAATGCTCACTTTTTATTAACAGTATGAAGTTCCTGAACCCCTGAGTCAAGAGTCATGAATGAGACTTAGATTGCTAAGCTGTTCTGACAGGATCCTAAGATGCTCAGAGCTTAGAGGCAGATATTCCTACACCTTTTCTTTGACGAGAGTATGCCTGAAATATCAAAAGGGCTTTCAGTCTCTAATGCTGGATTTAATTAGAATACAGATAAGAGCAAGGTAAATTCTGACAAAGATACTGCGATCTGCTGAGGGATGGAGATTTTTTCAATA